GACGAGAAAGGCGTATGGCAAGCTCCGCTCGTTGGTGATGGAGGCGCAATCCGCCATGTGAATCATGACGTATTTTGCCCAATTGATTGAGGCGCCATGGGTGATAGCATGAACGGCCTTGAGATCCTCGTTGAAGAGGCACGTGTGGCTGCCGTCCCGGGGGCGAAGAATCCGGGTGAGGATATAGAGTAGAAGACGCTTCTCCGGCGGGGCTGAGTGAATGGTTGGTGCGCCGATGTGACGGACGAGGTTGGTGATTCCCTGCTCTCGGATGACCACCGCCTCGTTGTTGAGGATCCAATCATCGCCGCCATATGTTGCGATGTCGTCACCGCGGGTGGGCAGCCATGCGACCCGAGCGAAGGTAGCCAAATCAATCTCTATGTCGTAGAGATTGATGCTACTGCGAATGGTGTCCCCGTCCCGGCGGAGATTTGAGTAGAAAGCCCGGACGTAGGCGGGTTTGTAGGATTGACGGCTTCTGGAGACGAACGACCACAGACCCGACTCTTTGAGTTGATTGTCGAGGTCGTGGTACCCCTTTTGTTGAGGGTATATCTCGGGCAGCACTCTTGGCGGAGAGATGGGGCGCTTGGCGAAGTGGGTGATGAAGCAAGAGAGTTCCTCTTCCGACCCGAACTCCAAGAAGGATCCGTCCAGGTACGGAAACGGCTGGGGCGCAGAGGACGTTGCTTCGACGTTGGTCTTTTTCTTGGAGGCCTTGCTCTTAGATTTTCCTCCGGCCATAGCAGCGTTTTTGAAGAGAAGAGAGTGAAATTTGATTAGGAGATTGAAATATGGATGCAAATTGTGATTAGGAATGATAGAGTATGATGTATATTTATAGGAGAGAAGTGAAAACCGTTTGAAATTTGAAAAAACTAGCTGTTGGGCCATTAATTGTGGTTCCAACGGTTCTGAGAATTTAAATTTCATCCGCCTTCCCAGCGATGGGTAGATCTTCCCATCGATGGGAAGGTTGCCACTGGAAAGCGAAGGAGAAAACTAAACTGCCTTCCCAGCGATGGTAGGATTCACCCATCAAATGGGAGGGTTTATTCTGGAAATCCGTTAAAACCTTTTAAAAAAAAGAGTGACAAACACCCAACGATGGGAGGAAGTCCCCATCGATGGGTAGGTAGGTTCTGGAAAAAAATTTTGAAGCTGAAATCACTCACCCAGCGATGGGATAAAGGACCCATCGATGGGTAGGGTGTTTCTGATTTTTTTTTTTTGACAAAAGTCCTTCTCCCAGCGATGGGAAGACATACCCATCGATGGGTAAGGTGTTTCTGGAAATCCGTTAAGAATTTTTAAAAAAAATAGAGTCAATTACCTATCGATGGGAAGAAGCACCCATCGATGGGAAGAGGGGTTCTGAAAAAAAGAAAACTTCCCTCCCAGCGATGGTATGGCCTGCCCATCGCTGGTTCCCCCTGATTTCCAGAATTCTTCACTTCGAACCGTCCCAGCAAAAAAGAGTTAGAAAACCCTCCGACACTCAAGTTAGTAAACATGCAAACGAAGATAAAAGAATGATAAGATGCACAAATTAGATCATCGTGGAGTCAAGGATTCCGAGTTCACTACGAATGCGGAAGAACGACTCTTTCTCTAAAGGTTTTGTGAAAACGTCGGCTAATTGGTTGTGTGTTTCAACAAACTCAATTTCGACATCACCTTTGAGAACATGATCTCTAATGAAATGGTGCCTAATGTCAATGTGTTTCGTTCTTGAATGAAGAACGGGGTTCTTCGTCAAGCTAATGGCGCTAGTATTGTCACAACGAAGAGGAACGTGACTGATACTAAGGCCATAGTCTACGAGTTGTTGCTTCATCCAAAGGATTTGAGCACAACAACTACCGGCGGCTACATATTCCGCTTCGGTTGTGGATAACGCAACACTGACTTGTTTCTTGCTAAACCATGAAACTAAAGAGCTACTAAGTAAGTGGCAAGTCCCACTCGTACTTTTACGGTCCAATTTGCAACCGGCAAAGTCTGAGTTGGAGTAACCAACAAGAAGACACGAAGAGCCTTTCGGATACCACAGTCCAACGTTAACCGTTCCTACAAGGTATTTCATGATCCGTTTCACCGCCGTTAAGTGCGATTCCTTCGGGCATGATTGATACCTTGCGCAAAGGCATACGCTAAACATGATATCCGGCCTACTAGCGGTAAGATAAAGAAGGGATCCGATCATACCTCGATACTTTTTGACTTCTACTTTCTTACCCTTTTCGTCTTTGTCTAGATGGTCGGACGTGCTCATCGGGGTCGCCATGGATTTGGCGTTTTCCATTTCGAATCGTTTTAGGAGCTCCTTGCAATATTTGGTTTGGCAAATGAACGTGCCATCTTTCATTTGCTTGACTTGAAGTCCCAAAAAGAATGTAAGCTCACCCATCATGGACATCTCAAATTCGCTTGTCATTAAAGTTGAGAATTCCTTGCACAAAGACTCGTTAGTAGCACCGAATATTATATCGTCTACATAAACTTGAACCAAAAGGATATTATTGTTTTTACTCTTGATAAAAAGTGTAGTGTCTACCTTTCCCCTTTGGAAACCACTATCCAAAAGAAATTTACTCAAACGTTCGTACCAAGCACGGGGTGCTTGTTTAAGACCGTAGAGCGCTTTCTTGAGTTTGAAGACATGGTCGGGAAACTCAAAGTCTT